CAGTACGTTACTCAATTGCGCCATTTATTCTGCTTAAGTGGTTTCATTTACTTATTAGGCGACATTATTCTCAACTCGTTTGAAGGAGCGCTGTTGAGACGTCAAAATGATGTTCATTGATGATTCAGCATACCACCTTCCGTACCAAGACGATATCTGCAAGTAACTACCCCATATCCAGACTCCTGCCATACTCCTCATTCAAGCCTAATAGGCATCTTATGAAAACGTGGGGTTATCGGAATTTAAGTTACATGTGGTTGGTTTAATACATAATACATAAAACCCTAAGAATTACGTGATTTCGATGTTAGCATGGAACTGGGGGAGCACTTACGTATGGCGTGATATCTACTCGGAACATAGCATGATTGCATATGTCCGTCCGCTTGAAGATAGCAATTCTCTCAACTGAACCTTATCAAAACTGTATCGCATAAGGAGCCGAAGCCTTCAGAACACTAGTCTCCATGGCTACCTCATTAGAGCAGGCGACGATTCAAGCGTTTGAGCCTAGGAAAACTTTACGACCATTGTTATCATTCGAACAATTTGACCTGCCGGCGACTAATCAACGAATACTTGGGTCACCTCATCCAGAGGGGACCACCATCCCACTAGCGCTACGCCCATCGACTCACGATACCATACTTCCCGACCTCGACAGCATTGTCGAAACAGTAGAGTCACTCCAGGACCAAGGCGGAATTCTCACCAATAAGTTAGCACTACATGGCGCTTTGCTGTTTCGAGGCCTTCCCATCCACAACGCGGATGAATTTAGCAAGTTCGCTCATGCATTCGGGTACAAACCGCACGAAATTATTGGTATTGTTGTCGATCGGCCACTACTGGCGCCAAATGTGGCTCCCGCCAACGAATCGCCTAAGGAAGTTCTGATTTACAGTCATAACGAGTCACCTCAGGTACCCCATGCTCCAGAGTACATATTTTTCTATGGGCATAGAGTCCCTGAGAAAGGGGGCGAGTCACCCATATCGTCATCACTGGAACTCTTCCACCGGGCGCAACAGGAGATTCCTGAATTCATTGACCAACTAGCTAAAAAGGGAATCCTAAGCAGAGTGACCTACAAATTTGATACGCAGTACGCTGGAGGGTCAACCCTAAAGCAGGCATTCGGAAAGGAGATAAAAGATGAAGACGACGAACTGACAAAGCGGGCTAAAATCGAAGCCCAGATCGCTCGATATGGCAGGGGGAAGTATACTACGTGGGAATGGATAGACGATGGTGTGGTTCTGACACACAAGCTCCCTGCTATTCGTACCCAGCCAGGCACTGGCCTGCCTACACTCTTTACGGGACTGGCTGCATACTATAAGAACGCTCAGGTAAACCCGGGTGCTAGGAAGAATGTCACTCAGCAGCTATTTGGAGATGGCACACCGATTCCTGAAACATACCTTGCTCATCTTGCCAAGATCACGGATGAAACCCGCGTGCTGCACAAGTGGGAGCGTGGTGATGTTCTCCTCTTTGACAATATTATTGCACAACACGGGCGTCAGCCGTGGGAAGGTGAACAGTCTGACCGTGTTATCATGGCCAGCCTTTTCGACGGTGATCATGTGCCTGGTGCTTATACTTTGGATGACTGGGCTCAAGTCGTGCAGGCACTCGATGGTTAGTTCGTCTATTTTGATGGCATCAAGCTACTTTGTTTAAGTTACTATATTTCCTTACCTAGACTCTTCTGTAAATGAAGTAATCTGGAAATACGGACGAAACCGAATAGTTGATCAAAGCACATAGTACATGAGGCTAGAGCGCGAATCTGTCCATGATAATTCAGCTCTTCCTTTGCCTTGAAACAATGTAATAACTAGGCCTTTCTATACACTCCGATATCTAGAAACAGGTCGTTAGTTACTACGATAGGAAAAGGGGAATATGTTATTGAGATGCTGGTTTTTTTTAAAAGAAGTAAAAAATCTACTATCCTCCACCGGTCTTAACCCATTGTTGATCACATTGCTTGCCCCCACCCCCCCTTAAAAGAGGGCAAAAAAATAGGAAAAGGGAAAAGGGAAAAGCATTCTCTCCAATACATCAACAGCTATATAACCCATTAATCGCCACATAGGATTTAGATTAGCAGCAGCAAATAGAGTGAGGACACCCATATCGATTAAAGGCAGCACACATATTTCACCATTTAGTTTCCTTCCTTCGATGCCAGGCTTATCATTTCGAAGCTTCCGAAGGGAGCTACTCATCAATTTCATCATCATTCATCACTCAATCCGTCCTCACAGTAGACAACTATTACCTAGGAAGCCTGGATAATCAACTCACTGTGCTATAACCAGTACAGCTTTGCTATTACAGAATATCTGCAAAAGTATTGCAATTTGGCGTAGTGGGTATAGTAGTTGATACCAGGCTGATTACCTTCAGGCCAATTGAAAAAGGTGGTAAAATGGTGTGTAATATCTAGGTACATTGATCACGACGGCCTTCAACTGTAAGAAGTCGGTATAAATGAAGTATACACTAGTGCCATATTTAGCTAAGTACTCAATGGTGGACCATCCACAGCATTGGAATCTTGACAGTAGGTAGCTCTAGGTATGGTCTAGGTATTTAGCCGGCCCCTTTATCCAACCACCATCGTTTTCCATGGGGTCGCGGAATTTCCGGCACAGCACCAGATTTCTTAGATACAACAATTTCAATTCACCTTCAGCTGATACTTCAACCTCGCAATGAAATCATGGGCAATATGAAGACATGCATCTTTCTTAATGTCTACCCATGATGTTATATTTCCGGCGAGTCGTCGCAAGCATCTGCGTTGTCGCGCCTCTCTTCTACATCTATTGGTGGAAACTTACGGCTCCCCGTCATCTCAATGGATTTACAAGTTGGGCAAAAAAAGATGTGTTTAATAACACACTCGGCGTAAGGCCCTCTGTAACATATCTATCTTCTAGCCTGATAATCCGCCTCTGACCGCATTTAAAGTTCTCCCAGATAGTCGTCATTAACTTGCCATCACGAACAGACCGTCGAGATGCGATGGCTTTGGCAGGCGCAGTCAGCAATCTCACTTTCGGCTGGATTGATGGCGTTTCGGGCGACGAAGTGCCCGAACACATCATGCCGCTGAGCGATGGACAGAATGGCCCGCTCTCCCCCGGAGCCAGAGGCTCCTGGAGGTCTCATATGAATGCGCTGCAAACCATTGTTCACCAGAACTTGGGCAGCGCGTTAATATTGGAGGATGATGTGGACTGGGATATACGTCTGAAGGCGCAACTATACGGTTTCGCATCAGCTTCGAGGACCTGGTTGAGAGAGTCGAAAATGCACAAGAGGCAAATCGAGCTGCTTGAACTCGTCCCGCCCTCATTTGTTAGGAAGAGGACTGAAGAATCTGACAAGAATACGATGGAGTTACCCATAATCGAAAGCACTCATGATGAAGCTCAAAGTGTATATGGCGATGACTGGGATGTTCTGTGGCTGGGCCACTGTGGTGCTGATTTTCCCCCTGATGGGTCTTCGATGTCGCCCCTGAGGGTGGTGATCTCCGAAGACGACACGGTCCCTGCACCGAAACACCTCAAACCTCACCCATTTGCCCTGCTGGACAAATTAGGTGAGGTGTACCCCCCACATACACGCGTAGTTCACGCAGCCAGCGGGAATGTCTGTAGTCTAGCCTACGCCGTTAGCCAGCAAGGGGCTCGCAAACTTCTACGGCAGTTTGGAGAAAGCTTCGACTCCCAGTGGGATTTGATGTTGCAAAGCTGGTGCCAGGGAGGGTACGCTGTAAGAGGGGACGCTCAACTCAAGCCGGAGGTGGACAGCGACAGCGACAGCGAAGATAACGGCGAGGTTATCCCTATCTGCCTCACAGTACAGCCGCCCTTAATCAGTCATCACTATACTAAAGGTGGCGTTTCCGATATTCAGGGGCAAGGTGGTGGGTATGCGAGGGGTGTAGGAACACCGTATATAAGACTAAGTGTACGGGAGAACTTGCGACTCCTAGTCACTGGAGCACTAGAAAGCGAATTGGTGGATCAGCTGCCTGATGATGGGAAGACAATCTGGTAGTGTGGATTGAATACCTGAAGGTAATAGGCCTTACATGTACTACTAATAATCACTGTATGGAATAACAAGGCTGTACTGATCAAAACATAGTAATAATCGGGATACCTTGGGTTTATTTTCTGCTGCTAATCCAATACCACAACGCTTATTTTCAGCGGTTTTAATGGTTAAGTTGTTGCCGTCCCAGTCGACGGAGGATCCCATACACATGGGATCCGAGCCTTTAGAGATCTCAGTCAAAGCTGTGTCAATTGAATCTGCGGGCATATTGCCCTACGCCCACTCCAAGTTTATCTTCCCTGTCATGCACTCAGAGGTGAATGACGAACTTCACGACTGGTATGGGAATACAGTCGAGTTTCTCCTCGAACGTCATGTAGGAATTCAGCAATGTAGCCAGCATCGTCAACGCGAAACCCGCCGAATCGCCGTACACACTCTTATATGTTATAGGAAGCTCTTTTAGTTGAACGTACTGGAGAGCTAACCTAGTCAACCTTTAAATTCGCGTCCTTGCTGAGCTCCTCGGATGTGAATGTCTATAGTACGTGTTGAAATAGACGCAGGTTATGAGTAGTATATTAGTTATTATTAGAGAAGTATCATCGCTAGAGTCAGAGGCAGAGCCTCCTATATATAAGCCACAGCCTGTGGGGCGTCCAGCCACCTGAATTATCACAGCCACATCCCTGTAATCCGTCAGTACGCGAGTGGTAAACTAGTCACCTAGCGAGCCACATTAGTGAGGAAACCCCTAAGACAGAATGTTTTTAAGACCTAAAGTCCCTAACTAGAGTACTGACTATCTGCCAGGAAAGCCTGACAGCGGGGTTCTTTAGTGCTAGACGATCCCCTAAAACACCGTCCTCCAGGGCTAAACGTTAGGCCTGAACCAGCAAAAAGAGAATTACACATGCCCATTACTGGAGTCGAACCAGTCGCCTCCGCATTCTCTAGCTTTACTAGTGCGGCGCTCTACCGCTGAGCCAAACGGGCTTTGTAGGTAAATTTGAAGATGCTGCTTGGGTTGGGGACTCTGACATTTTGAGGTCCATAAACGAGATACGCCTGCAAACTATCACTGCCTCCAGGTACCTACTTCGAACCCCCCGTCCCCCAGTCTCTACTTTCCCTTCAGAACCTTACAGTATACGCAAGTACGCGGCACAGCATAATCCCCATGGACCCTCGGTATGCCGTCGCTTTCTATGTACCAATATCTAAAGCTTGCATGCATCTATGTGAAAAGGATTGACCGCTTACATGCACATACCCAATACGTACACGATACGCAGTAGAGAAACGGCTCGTTCTGAGGCTGTCGATAAAGTATCCCCGCTTCATCAAGGACGCAACTTGTTTATATATCTACAAATAAACAGGCCTCAACGCACTGATCGTCAATTAACGAAACATAAGAGGCGCGTAAGTCAAGCTTACAACCATGTTCCCAACTACACCAACTTTGGTGTACTTATTGCTCTGCTGGTTGCAGCTAGCTACCTCAGTACCGTTTTCCCACACATCCAGATCACTCCTGGATATCTCCATCAGTGATCTCGGGGCATTGCTTGGTAACGGGACCATCACCAGCTATGGCCTCGTCGATTTATACATGCGCAGGACCAAAGAAGTGAATGACGATCTCAATGCGGTCATCGAGCTCAATCCGCACGCGCTCAACACGGCAAGACAATTAGATGAAGAGCGGGCTAAAGGGTCTATTAGAGGCCCATTACACGGTATCCCGATACTGGTGAAAGACAACTACGCCACCGATGACATGCCCACCGGTGCCGGGAGTGTCTGCCTTGCCAGATCACGGCCGAGACGGGACGCCCATGTAGTCAGCCGGCTGCGGAAAGCCGGCGCGATTATCCTCGGCAAGGCCAATTTGAGCGAGTTCTCCGGGATGCGCGGGTCGAACGTCACCGAAGGCTGGAGCGCCCGCGGTGGGCAGACGTCCGGCGCCTACGTCAAACACCAGTCGGCCTGTGGGAGCTCGAGCGGGAGTGGAGTAGCGGCTTCATTGGGCCTGGCCGCTGGAACTCTGGGGACGGAGACGTCGGGGAGCATATCGTGCCCCGCCATGTTCAACAATGTCGTCGGCATCAAACCGACTGTGGGCCTGACCTCCCGTGATGGAGTCGTGCCCTTAACGCCGCGCCAGGACACGACGGGGCCGATTGCGCAGAGTGTGGCGGATGCGGCGGCGATCCTTGATATCATCGCCGGTAAGGACGTTAACGATAACTACACGTCGGCTCAGCCTTGGGACGCGCCCCCAAGCTATACATCTGCTCTCAATGCGTCAGCTTTGGTAGGTAAGCGGCTGGGTGTAATCTGGCTCGATGATGATATTCTCAATATTACTGGTGGTGCCAACCGCGAACAAACCAAGGTTGTTTTCGATAAAGCACTGCTTGATCTGGAGGCTGCTGGAGCAGAGCTCGTCAATGTTACTCTGGGAACTCGGGGCGTATCCCTACAAGAAGCGGCACAATGGGTTCGCGGCAACATGAGTGAATATGCATTTCCCGACTTCAAGGAGGGCATGTCAACTTACATAGGGGATCTTCTTCCTGGCCCAGATGGCATCGCCAATATTTCAGAGCTGTACGAATGCTTAAAAAGTGATCCACTGGAACAAGCTTCTACGTTCAGTCTGGAGAACTGGGAACTTGCGCTGCAAGTCAATATAACCGCCGGCAGCGCAAAAGCATGGGAGGCTTACGTAGCTGCCTCGGGCATATCGAGGAACCTAATCGTCGATCCGATCGTGGAGCACAAGCTAGACGCTATCGTCATGCCCCCAGAGCTCTCCTGGACGGCGACGGCATCTCCCGGATTGCCAATAGTCACCGTGCCAATCGGCGCGCTGGGAGACGATGCAGAGACGGTATGGGGCGATAGCGGGACACTTATCCGAAGCGCGCCGGGCCTGCCGCTCGGACTGAGCTTCACGGCAGACAGGTGGACTGAGAAAGAGCTTATTGGTTATGCTTATGCTTACGAGCAGGTTTCGAGGAAGCGACGGACGTTGAAGCCTCAGATAAAGCCTAGCTCAGACCTAGATTCAATCCTCAAGTACAACATGCTTGAGTTGTTATAGTCTATATTATAACTATATCATTATACTGGAGCATATTTGAATCATCCAACGGGTGGATTTCTTCCACCAGTTGCCAGTACTAGCTACGTTATATTGCTGTTCTGCTTGAAGTTTTATCAGCTTTAGAAAGCAGTCCCCTGACCACGACCTGGTGCAGGAGGAGCATCAACTTTTTTCGGATGGCACCTCCTGTACGATTCTAATCAGACTCAGTTCACGATTGAAAGGTGACGATGCGCCCATAATTTGAATATAAATTAATTTTTAGAAGAAATTTAAAGGAGTGTAAGTATAAATGTCCCAAATCCCGAATCCCATGCCATCGCCGCCCATGAATGCTAAGATCGCCATGCTAATGCTAATTAGACCATACTTTATCATGTTGCGTTTTGTCCGTCTCGTCATGAACATTCCTGTGAGAGGTCCTGGCTGAGCAAAAATCCATTGAGAGGCCGCCTGAGTGAGCGACCTTAAGCAGAGCCACCTCCGCAAGACATTTGCCAGGAACCCCACTTGGCGTCCGTAGTCAGGGGGTTGTTGCAAACATCCTTAGAGATGGATCGCCTGCCAGCGCTGCAGTTTGTGTCGGTGTAGATGTAGACTTCTTCCAGTTAGTCGATCCATTTCACAGCAGAAGACCACGCAGTTGGTTGAACATAGTACTTACAGTCGCAGCCGTTGGCGGTGGGGTACAGTTGCTCCAGGTTCACGGACAAGATGCCGGTGTCGGGGGTGTTGACGAAGGTCTTGCAGGCGTTCGTGTCTGACTGGTCGACAGTGTAGAAGCCGTAGTTCAGATCGTGGCAGCCAGTCGCGCCGAAGACGCGGAACTGGGCGAGGCGAGGGCCATCGCGCTGCTGGACGACGCCGGCGTTGGCTCCGAGGACCAGGGCGGCGGTGGCGGCGAGGTAGGTGGTGAACTGCATTTTGTTTGGTGAAAAGGGGGGGTCGGTAGTTAACTTTAAGAAGGAGTTGATGAGTTATTGGTTTGAGATGATGAAGACAGGTGATGATGATGAGATGATCGATACTGATTGTGTGATTTGAGTCTCGAAATTCGAAGCGGTCGTTCCCCTTTTAATACCTGAGCTCGTTCAACTCATCCGGCATCATCGATGCTTCGTGAACAGTGCATGTTAAGCACATTCCAATCTTCACAATGCTGTTTGCCAATCTGTTGGTTTGCTGTTGTCGTGGACACGATGTGTAGACCGTTCGATTATGCAGAGCACCGGCGATCACTTGTTCAGCCACATTGCTGTGCTGCTGACTCGCTAGCTGAGCGCGAAGCGCCCAATGACGAAGACTCGGGAACTCTAGAGGTCTATCCGAATCCTAAGAATGGAAAATCGGGTCTTCGTATACTACCTCACCTCAGCACTAAGGGCTGTGCCAGAAGTGTCTTATATGTACATGTAGGACATGTATAACACGTAGCGGCGACTACCCCAGAGTAAGGATTTCTCCGATTGGGTGTTTGGCTTCGAAAATCGGCAATTATCGATTGCTGCTTCAAGGTTTTCCCATATGATGCGTACGGTATTCTGAATGGATGAATTACAACCCCGGATCTCCATCAGCATCCAATTTCTTATTCACATATCCTGACGCCAGCAATTTACAGCGCCATGATATCCACTATGCCTCGAAAGCTATTCAGTTTGCCTTACATGGGCAGCAATTAATTATGTCCAACCGCGAGTATCAACATGTCTCTAAATCTCTGGCCATCCCTAGATGAGATCCGCTTGAAGCTCCTGGGCTGTGGTTATTCGTTGACCGGTGGCGCCGGTTTTTCTCGTATCGACTTAAAAGTTCCGCTGATGCCTTGACGATTGTTTTCGATCGTTGATGACTGATCATATTCTTATAAATAGAGAGAACCCGTCGGTATGGGCGAAAGCTACACAGCAGAATGCGTATCACCTTATCGGAAGGTTAAACGAGGTGGCCTTCCGAAACTAACAAGGTTGATGCCCCAAATCAACCGCGATTCCGTAGCACAGAGTCCTCGTATGATAAGTCACGATGGTCAAGGCTTGGAACGCCACTTACATGAATATATGCCCCCAACAAAAAAGGTACGTCCGGTGAAATCGTATGTTCTCTCTCTGTCGTGAAATATGACGTGCATGCATCACTCACGTACTACTTCAAAAAGCAGCACAATACATAATAGCAGAGACATCTTGGAGTAACAATACCTCATCCAGTGCTGATAAGCTGAATTATACGTGACGATATAAAGCCACATTAAGATTACTGCTCTAAAAAGCCACGACCTGCATTATACAAACTTGGTTGAAGACGACTAAGTAGCAATCAATTAGATAAATCAAGCAACCCTACCATTTGTAGAGATTTATGGATCGGCGACTTTTACCACACAAACAGTACTACAGAGTCTATATGGATACCGTCATTATCTTCATGAACTCTCCAGATGATCATCTTGTTCGTCTTGACGCACTCCTCAAGCTATCCCAGGATATCAGAATGGTCATTTCTCTACCGAAGTCGTTTATGGAATATGATATAGTCTAGTCACTACGACTTCTAGTGAACGAATTTGGAATAGCTGCCTGCAGATAATCATCGGCATACGTCGAGTATATCGAAACGTGCGTATAGAACTAGCATGAAACTACCTACGTAGTCTCCAGTCTAGGTAGACCTAATATACAACTACAAGAGACTAGAAACACTTATATATCTACATGTCAACAGTTCACTGGGGATTTATTGAATAGATATACTTTCATGGGAATGGCACGCACCCTATCGTTATACCTGTGAAGCTGCCCCTTTGATTGGTATTGCTTACTGATGAGCTCCAGTCGCCACTGGTCATCTAATGCCCGAACCCACCTCCGATATATCCTCC